TTAGAGCTGGAATTCTGAGCATCAGGTCTGTGGAAGGCTAGAGGAAAGATGATGTAGGCGGGGAGCTAGCTCGTGAAGCATCATTACCTGCATTGTGTAAATGAACTGCTGATGAGTGGTGCCGATATTTGGAGTGGAGGTAAATATTTTCACTGAGGTCAGTGGAGGTTCAGGGAGAAATCTTCCTTCCTTTTCAGGCAGGAAACCTGTGTTTGATTCCCAGCCAAGCATCTTGCTCACAGCCACCACCCAGGTATAGTGGATTGGGCCTGCTGGGATGCTAAACAGGTGTCAGTGATGATTCAGACTGAAAACAGATGAGGAAGAAAGGCCTGGTGATCTGCTTCTGAAAAACAGCTAATGGAAACGCTTTGAGTCCCAAGGATGTGCTCTGCTCTGATCATGGGGACCATGTAGCAGTCTTGTGTTCTCTTGTTCATGGGGCCACCAAGAGCCTCGGGCAGCTAACTCCAGGCCCAGAGCTATTTCCAGGAAGAAGAAGTTGGATAGCAATGATGCAAAGGAAAAGAGAATAAAACATTTAAAATGATGCAAAGGCCATCAGGGAGCCCATAAAAGTACTTATTTGGGGCGGGTAAGGAAAAGATTATCATGGGGTTCACTGGTTCCATCCCATCCTTCATTAAGGATGGTGTAGCTTGATGACTTCTCTCAAACACCCATGAGTATGTTCTTGGCCTTTCTTGGCATTTAGATCATCGGGGCTGACGAAAGTGGTAATTCGGGGGCTTTAATTCACATCTGGAAAGTGCTTTGGGACACCATCGAGGCAGCTGCACCACCCACTTCTGACTGATGACTTGCTGAGCTCCGCGAGGGCAAAGGGCTCTTACTGCCATGGTCCGTGCGAAGTGTTTGTGGTCTTTGGCCTGAGCCGAGCGGAACAGCTGTTTTTTCTCTCCCGAGCAGTAGATACAGTTTCCCTGCCTCTGAGTATTGGGGAGCTGCTAGCAACCGGGAGCAAGGCGTGGAGAATGCCCCTTTTCATGATAAGGAAGGAACACGCGAGATGGGTAACTTGGACACTGTAGGACTGACATGAGCATTTGGTTTGGAAGGCGTTCCTAGGAGAGAAAAGAGGGTAAAAGTATATTTTGTTAAAGACATCTTTTTTTTTAACCAAACAAGAGAAAGAGTTGCTTAAAAAACTTTTAAGCTAGCCTTAGTCGTACAGGAGCCCTGGTTGGGTAGAAGTGATGTTAAGAATAAAAACCCAAACTCAATACCATTGAGTCGATCTTGACTCAGAGCCACTCTCTAGGACAGAATAGGATGTCCCTGGGGGTTCCCCAGACTAAGACCAACTTTTTATGGGGGCTGACCCCGCAGTTGGTGAGCAGCCCAGCACCCAGTATGACACCACCAGGACTCCTAGTGGCTCCGCGCTGAACTGCTAAGCGCATGGTCAGCGGTTTGAATCCACTCGCTGCCCCGCAAGCTGAGCTGTGTACTTCTGTAAAGACATAAAACTTTGGAAACCTAAAGGGGCAGTTCTGCTCTGTCCTGTGCGGTCACTGTGAGTCAGAACGGGCTCGATGACCCGTGAGTTTGGAGTTGAGTGTTTGGTCTTAATTGTTATTGTCCTTCGATGCCACTTCATAGAAACTCATAGACAGAGTGCCACACTGCCTGGTCCTGTGCCACCCACATAACTGTTGCTATGTTTGATCCCATTGTTGAGGCCACTTGGCCAGTTCATCTCATTGAGGGTCTTTCCTCTACCAAGGATGAAGGGTGATGGCCTTCTCCAGGGACTCATTCTTCCTTAATTAGCCCAAGGCAACAGTCCAGTCATCTGTGAACAGGCTTTGCCGTTCACCAAGGGGAAAGTGGGCCTTTTTGGAGAAAAGCCAGGATTCACGATTGGAGTATGTTGGGACTCATAGTGATGTGTGTGTGTGTCTGAGAGAGAGAGAGCCAGGGGTGGGGGGAGTGAGAGGTGTGAGTGGTTAATAGAGGCTGATTGATTGGTTCATTTCCATTCAAAAATAGCAAGCCCCAAGGAAAGCATTGAAATACTCACTCGAACAAGAGTTATTCAGATGTTAGCAGGTTGAAGTTGGTCTGGATTACAGCTTGAATTCTAAGCCCTTGATTTGCAGAAGGCTGAGTTGTGCAGTGGGTGCCCGCTACATCCCGAGTCTTAAATTTTGCCTCCATTGGGTTCTTGCTGCCCATTAACCAGCCAGGGAGGGTGTTACTCTCAGGGAGAATGTGTTTGAACATGGACCACTAGCATTCCCCTGGGAGCAGACCCAAGGCGGGCCAGCCTCCTTCTCAGGACCTTGGCCTTGGCCACGCTTGTCCTTAATGGAAACTGGGGTATCAGACCAAGATAGTCAGAGGGCCCCAGAACCAAGGTGTGCCCCAATCCTGATCCCTTTCCCACGTCCAAGGTTCCACCTGTGACTGATGAATTGAGCTACCTCCAGTTAGGACATTGTGACTTTGCCTTTCCATTTTCTGTCATTGGCAAAGTGGCCACGAATCCTTTGGACCCCTTCAGGGCCTCATGCTGATAATCTCCCTCCCTGGGATGATTTGTCTTTGTCTGGCTTTGCCCTACTTAAGCGCCAGTAAGTAGGCCTCGAAGATATATTAAAATTGGGGGTCTTTTCTCCCTAGAATAGCCCGAAAGGCAGGGGTGTTTCATTTCTTGGATGGATGAAGGCAGAAGTTTCTGTAAGAAGGGAACATCACGTTTATGGGAGACCTCAGACACATCTGCGGTGTCCTCGGTGTCCTCGCCAGGATCTCTTCCCTGGGGCCCCAGCTGTGGGGAGTGGCCGCAGGAGCAGAGCTATGACTCATGACAATGGGTTCCTAGGTCTGCTTGCTGCTTGTCCTGCTTCCTCCTCCTCCCTGGAAACACACACACAAGCACACGCACACTCACACATGCACACCGGGTGCACACGAGTCCCTTTGTTAATGTACGTTCTGGGTTCCAAGAAAGAATACGATCCTTGAGGCAAACAGGGGTGGGGAGGGCTGTGTTCCTTGGTAGTGTGAGCAAGCATGGCCTGATGAAGAGAGGGCCAGAGGTAAGCTCACGTTGTCTTTGCCTATGAGCTGCCGGGTCCCTTCTACAAATGGCCGAGGAGGCAGCTGGGAATCAAGTTATTGTCTTGTCATCGCGCTGGTTGGTGGTAGCTGGTGGTCCCACCAGATAATGCCAAGTGGGCTAGGGCTCCTTTCCTAAAGTTTCCTCTAGTAATTTTCCTTCCTTCCCTAGGCAGTGGGGGAAGGGAGGGTGGGGTGGGAGCAGAGAGAGCTGCTGCTGTAGGTTTGATACTATCTGGCTCCTAGGCCCCACTTGTCTGTAGGCCTCAGGGCTCAAACCTGACTCAGGACAGCTTCTCCTGCTGAGGCTGGGTGGGGCCAGAGGTGGTGGGAAATGGGAGCCAGGGTGGCCAATGTCGGGGTTATTTGTAGGAAGTTGGGTAGAGGTGGCATGGAAGGACGGGAGAGCCAGTCTGACAGCTGCTATAAAGTTGGTGGCTAGCTGGGCCAGAGGCAGCTGAGCTGAGGTGAGGCAGAGGAGATGGAAAAGTGGGTTGGGGGAGTAGGGGGGGGGTGTTGTAGGTCTTCATGCTGTGCCCCCTCCCTCCCCCCTGGGGGAGTCCTTAGGCAGATACTTTGATTCCTCTGGCTGGCTTTTCAGATCCCAACCCTAAGACATTCAGGCCTGATTCTTCCCTCCCAAGAATCATTCTCCTTTCAAGGTGTTTTCTTAACTAAAGGCAGCCAAGGACAGACTAGTGGGCTCAGCCACAGGCATCCACGGTGCCCTTTTTTTTGGGGGGTGGGGCGGTGGGTTTCCTCTTGGACATCTCTTTAGAGTATTGAAAAGCAAGGATGTTACTTTGAGGACAGAAGGTGTGCCTGACCCAAGCCATGATATTTTCTTTTCTTTTTTTTAAACATTTTATTAGGGGCTCATACAACTGTTATCGCAATCCATACGCACATCAATTGTGTAAAGCGCATTTGTACATTCATTGCCCTCATCATTCTCAAAACATTTTCTCTCCACTTAAACCCCAGACATTAGGTCCTCATTTTTCCC